AGGTTGAAGTTTCAGGTGTTTTAAGACTAATTATGGCATGGCTCTCTCTCTCTCTCTCTCTAGACACCACGTTATCTAGTAAACAGTAAAACGAATAGTGAGAAAACAGTGAGAGACGGACAGACAGACGGATGAACACAAACAAAGAGACGACAACATAACGATAAAAATAGATATAGATCAAACATAATGGGAGATAACGAGAGAGAGAGAGAGAGAGAAATGGAGAAAGAGAGAGAGAGAGAGAGAGAGAGAGAGAGAGGAAAAAAGCAAACACACGGGCTAAACATTTCCCCCCAAAAAAACTTTGTTGTCATACATAAACACACAGCAGCCGAGCCCTGTGATTGCCACCATTGTTCCAAGCTTGAGTACCGTCATCCAGAAATGGTTAGGATCCTCAAAACTTCGTAATATTTTCATTTTTTATTTAATTATTCTTTATTTATTTATTTTTTTAACATTTGACTAGGAATTAAGATGAATTACATATAGTCTCAATTGTTGTTTGACGCCATATAGGATGTGTTTTAGAAATCCAGTTAGAGGGAAATTGAACTTTTGAACCTTTTAGAATACATATTTGTGTCGTATCTTAAGTGAGCTAACTGGATATTTGTTTACATATTCAGTAAGGAGATAAAATTTAACGTACGAGCATTTAAGAATCTACCTATGTGAGTTAGCAAAAATTAACTTAATAATCTTTGACAATCAGGAACAGAATTAAACTTACGACATTTCAAGAATCAGGAACAGAATTAAATTTACCAACTTTTTCAAAACTCCGGAATAGAATTAAACTTACAACCTTTTAAGACTCCGGAGGGGTAGGTAGAGAGGGAGCCTTCAGCATCACGTGTCCTCAACAAAACAATGAAAGATATAATGCGTCAGGCCTCCTCCACTAGGTACAGTTGGCTTAAGTACTTTGTATTGCTTTAGGTTTAATTAACTTTTATTTAACTAAGACTCACCCCTCCCTGTCTACACTTATCTCCCGTCTGACGTAGGATGAGGGGAGAGAGGGGAGGTTGTTAGTGTGTGGGGGAGGGGTGTGGGGGGTTGTTAGTGTGTGGGGAGGGTGTGGAGGGTTGTTGGTGTGTGGGGGAGGGGTGTGGGGGTTGTTGGTGTGTGGGGAGGGTGTGGGGTTGAGGGTGTGGGGGTTGTTGTGTGGGGGGAGGGGTGTGGGGGGTTGTTAGTGTGTGGGAGGGAGTGGGGTTGTTAGTGTGGGGGTTGTTAGTGTGGGGGGTATTGTGTGGGGCTTTGAATGTGTAGCGAGTGGGGGGTGTGTGTTAGTGTGTATGGGAGGCATATGTGTATGAAGGAGGGAGGTTACGGTTAGGTTAGGTTAGGCATACAAAGCAACATAAATACAAACGGACATGGCCGCCCTACGCAATGATCCGACTTGAATCATAACACAAACATAATATAATAAAACAGACAACATGACGCTATGAAACCCTATGTTGTGTTCAGGGGCGGGAATGTGATCAGAAATAGACAACCCCGCTGCTACATAATTAATCTTGACCGAGACAAACAGAAATAGCGAGTTAAACAGGCGAGAGCTAGAACAACTGATCCTGTGACACCAAGCCTGAGTGATGGCAGCAGGTCGGTAAGCTGTGTACACCCTGACCTTTGAAACAGGTTAACGTATTATGCAGCACCTGTGGATGGCCTCGACTGGCGTTCCTCCCTTACCTGTGTCATGACGAAGGTATACATAAAACAACGGGATATAAACCTACCATTATATATACTCCATTTCCCACTGGGCTCACTCGGTAACGTGTTCATTTTCACCTCTGGGACGGAGTTGTGTTTAATCTACTTAAGAGGATTTGTTTCGGGGTTGCATTTAGTTAACCCAATAGCCTCCTTTGCTGATCCGAGTGGTGGAGATTTTTTCTCGCGCGAGGGATGTTTTCTTCTCCAAGTGTGGTACTTAACGTAGCCTGTGGCCAATCGTTCATAACTTTTGTATTTTTTATCCATTTCAAAGAATAAGATCCTCCCCCCCCCCCGCCCTGCAGTGACGCCATTGCTCCGAGAAGATAAATTTGTTTCTGACCATGGCTTTGTTCGTCCTGGAAATAATATACTGTATATCTGTCTGGCCTTGTCCTTGTTGTCACGAGGAAAAATTCATGTGTCTAATATTGTCCTCGTTCATCCTGAGGAAAAAAGGTATTCGTGTGTGACAGTGTACTTGTCCGTCATGGGAAGATAAATACTCTCTGGGTCTAGGCGAGCGTTTAATCTCCAAGTATAAACATGGCTGCCTCTCCACTTACAAATCATATAGTTCAAATAAAAATTTCAGAGCCTCTTTCAAACGTTTGCGACCTTGCCTTAGAGGATTATATATATTTGTATTATTTATCTTTATTCATGGCGCTGTAAGGGGAATGTGAACGTGAAAGTAACAATGAATTTCTCCCAAGAAGAAAAAGTCGAAATTGCCTTCGTGTGTTCATGCATTGTTGATGAGGAGAGGCTCTCGACAACCTGGAATTTGAAAACAATAACTTTAGTGCGATAACTTAAACGTCTCTAGTACGATAACTTGACCCCTTTAGTACGATAACCTCTTCAGTAAGATAACTTGACCTCTTCAGTTCGATAACTTGGTCAATAGTAATACAATGGTGCACAACCTTAGGACCATGTAATACAGTGTGTGTGTAAAGTTTCAGGTCGTTAACTGCTTCCGTTTTGATGCTGTGTGTGTGTGTGTGTGTGTGTGTGTGTGTGTGTGTGTGTGTGTGTGTGTGTGTGTGTGTGTGTGTGTGTGTGTGTGTGTGTGTGTGTGTGTGTGTGTGTGATTATTGATGTCATCGTTAATTTTTTTAAGTTCTCCAAATTTATCAAAGCCATAGAATTTGGGAGGTAAATTTTTGTAGATGAAATTTAATTCCCCAGCCCAAGATAATTTTAAAGTCCTACCCTTGCAGGAGCGTAGATTTGCGTAAGTAAAAAAGCTCGTGCTTACATATTGAATTTCAAATTTGTGATTTTTAAACACAGTTCGCTTTTACTTTTATTTTTATCCTCTTCACCACTGATCGGCTCGTTATCCTCTTGGGCGATGGGTCACGTCTCTGTTATGCACTGCTGGCAAGTACTGACGTGCACTGTCTCCTGAATGTATCTGAACCTACTCCAGTCTGGTCTTGAAACAGCTCACACTCGGTGCCGTCACAACACTCTCTGGCAGACTGTTTCAAGAGTTCACAACTCTCCGAAAAAGTTTGCCCTTACAGTTTTCTGGGCTTGCGGCTTATACAACCTTGAACTGTGACTTCTTGTGGGGCGAGCGTCCGCCAGCTCCAGGTAAGGACACTCGACTGAGTAGTGCCCTTTGAGATGTTTATACACTTCAATTAGGTCCCCCCTTGCCCGCCTGTAGTATAAGCTAGGCAATTGCAGCGCTCTAGTCTCTCTGGGTAGCTGAGGTGCCGAGGTCCAGGCACCAGTCTGGTGGCCCTCCTTTGGACATTTTCAATCAACTGATAGTCACTAGCGTATCTCGGCAGTACTCCAGGCAGGGAAGCACCTCGCTCTTGAAGATATCTGAACGACCTTCTCATAAGATTTAATAACTTAGTTGCTTGATTCGCCTTCTTCTCACAATGCCCCTATAACTTCAGTTCATTGTCGACATACACACCTAGGTCCTTTTCACATTCAGTCTCAATTAATGCAGTTTCTATGTCTCGTTGGAACATATGATACGCTTCCTTGCCGTTGGTTTGTCCCAGGTGCATCCCCTTGCACTTCGTGACATTGAATCTTAGCTGTCATTTCGTCGACCATTTTTGAAGCTCACTGAGGTCCTTCTGCAGCTCTTCATAGTCTGCTTGGGTCTTAATTTCCTTAAATCACTTGGCATCGTCCACAAACATTTGTATGGAGGAATGTACAGCTCTCAAGAAATCATTTATGTTCAAAATCACAGCAAAAACTATTTACTTCAACCTGTTTAGTTATATAAGTAAGGAAAACTGATGACAAACTTTATACAAAACAAAGGTCACAAATAATGAGTGAACAGCTCAGCAACTCACTCTAAAAGTAAATCCTAAACCCCAGAATATAATATGTAATCACTCTAGAACAGTAAGAGTACAATAACACAAGATAGTTAAGGTTTGGGAGATAGGAGACCAGGGCCCAGAGTCACTACACAACCGTAAGAACGATTCACTAACGGTTCCTAACTTAGCTGTGGTGATCGTATGAACTCTGGCATTAGTTCGGCTATTTTTCAAAATGGCGGCTATTTTTAAGATGGCGGCCATTTTTCAAGATGGGAAATCATATGCTGAGCACTTTCTATGGTGTCTACGGCCATTTTCTAGTAGCCAAAGTAGCTAGCCAACAACACATACAAGGATATCTTCTCTAAAGAAGTCTCTCGAATGTTTGTAGGCAGGGCGGGATTTACCAATAGGCCAAGTAGGCCATTGGCGTAGGGCCCACCGGTATCTGGGTGCCCACTGAAACTAATTTGTCGCGCAGCGTGCCAGCGTATAACCTTGTTTCAAGTGTACATCGAGTATTTCATTATATAATATAGTCACAACCATAAAGGCCCTGTACAATAAGTATAGGGCCCGGAGTATGGGGCCCCTGTACAATAAGTATAGGCCCGCAGTGGTTGAAACATACAAACATTGGTGAGTTTGGCCTGGGACCCACAAGTAGGTAAATCCGGTTCTGTTTGTAGATAAACTACGGTTAGAACGTAGAACAATGTAGTGTGAAGGCGCTTTAGATGCGTGCATAGGGATAAACTATTGATTGTAATCACAAAATTCTCAAAATTCTTTTGGAGCAACAAATGGAATAATGTTAGAGAAATTTGCTTATATATCCATTGCTTAATTCATCTGTAGCAATAAAGATTGAGTTGATTTAATAATATGCTCCTCGTGCATCCATAAAACACACGTGTGGTGAACTTGGGTTTAGGCTCGTCGTTCAGTAAACACTGTGGGTGGTGTTGGACGGGTGGTGCTCGGTGTGAAGGGCTCGGAGGAGGTTTACCTGTAATACAAGTGTGAAAAGGGAGATTTTACTGCATTTAAACAACAAGAATTTTCTTGAAGAAATCGTAAAGGATTTGGCATAATATTACTTCACCGTCCTGAAGGAATGAAGCACATACCAAGTGATCACCAGTAAATGGTACCGGAGAACATAAAATTGTACTTTAACAAGTGAAAAGCCGTACATATGATACCAGGCTCGTCATGAATTCATACGACATATTCAGAAAACTCACAAAGGGAATCAAATTTAATAACAAGAAGTTTAAAAGTGATTTTCAGAAGTCTAGGGTAGGTAATTACGTAGTTGTTTAACGAGTGTTAACATCATATTCTGGGTGACATTTTGCCGACCAATGGTTCGGTGTTGGGCAAGATACAGTATCTAACTCTGAGAAATAAGTAACAGGTGACATTTTGCGCAATAGCTATGCAGAATAGTCACACCACAAAATATCTACTCAAGTTTGGTTTCAGATATAGTGTCAATAAAGCTATTGTTCTTTAAAATCTTGGGTAAATTTTTAGGTAAAGTTGCCCATAAGGGTTTTGGACATGAAACTTGTAAAATATACCACAAGCTTTGTACACTACAGTATATATGATAATTCTATTGATTCAGTATACAGTAATCCCTCAATAACTCAGCACATGTGGCTCTGGCCTTGATGGGTTATCCCAAATTCCGTATCAAAGTGCTTTCCCCCTCCTACAAAAATACAATAAAAAATTATCGACCCATATTTGTGTTCATGTAATTACTAAATGTAAAAAAGTAATACTTACCAGCACTGCAGGTGAAGAAAAGGGCATCATAGTAGGTGATACAGGTATGGTAGGTGACACAAAGGCATGGTAGGTGAGACAGAGGTATGGTAGGTGACACAGAGGCATGATAGGTGATGCAGGTGGCCAGATATGCCGAGATTTTCCCATATAATTTTACATATCGCGGCATTTCTCAAGTTATACTAATACATTCCGAGACCATATCCGTGGCGATTTATATAAAATGCTGTGTTTTCGAGGGCTTACTGTATCTTTATTTGATTTTTATTGCCCACAACTAACATAAATTGTGATCAGCTGTATGCATACGGCATACCAACATACCCTTTTTTCCTATGTTGGCAGACCTGGAGCGTTGATCGGAAAGAAAGCAACAAGAAAAAAATAATGGATTAAGTAAAAAAAATTACAAGGAAAAAAGTATCAGTGGTAGTATCAGTTTACTGGGAAAAAAGTTAACAGATATACATGAAATTAAATATGAATAAAAACATATACAGGCACTTTATTAATAAAATACACATTACTACATTATTCTAGACTGGTACAGTAGGTATGACATCCTGAAGGTGGTGAGGAGGTTTCTTTAGTTTCTGGAGGTGTTGACAGCTTTTGGACGTGGGGAGGTAGGTGTTCATAAACTGCTGAAGTAGTAGTCGGGTCTTCAACCTCTGAAGGTTAGGAAAGAGTGTGATATGATAGTTTAGGTTAGGGTAGGTTAGGTTAGGCTGCACAAAGAGGTAATTAAGTAGCTTGGACGAAACCATCCATTTACTGTTACTTTACTTGCTGTTACTCTTTAGCCATTACTTTTTTCTGATTCTGTTTTTGTTACATCTTTTCTGTTACTTTTTTTTCCCTGTTACTTTCTTTTCTACATTCACCTTGAGCAAGTCCCACGCAAACCCCACGATTCATACCACCTAGAATATGACCTATGCCCATGGCTTGGGCAAAGCTCACTGTGAGGATTCCTCATGAGGAAAGCCCATGTAAAACGATCTTGACTACGACCCATACAAACACCAGGAGCTCTCTGAGGATGCAGGTAATATCAGCACTGGACTTTGAAAATACAGGTATTCGATGACTACGGAACAAATTAATGCGATTTTCTCAAAAACTTATCATTTGCGTTGGAAACGTTACAAAGAAAAGTTTTTAGAAATGGTGAGATATACCTAGAACTGGACCCCAAAAATGTTGTGGGACATAATGGGCAACTTGTAAAAAAATACCAAAGCTTGACCTGAGCATATCCTGTGTGCTCACAGCTCACGGCATGGGAGTACTGATCTATCAGTACAGTATAGGGAGTAGTCCTTTGGTCAGTGCTCAGGGGTGGCTTCTGCTAATTAGTTACGTATTGGATATTTTGCCATGATCGGCTAAGTTCCTACTGGTGCTATTTTGCCGTGAGTGTGCTCAGATTGGTTAAGTACTTTCTGTTTAATATTACAGGGGGTCTACTCCCTGGCGAGGAAGTTAGGTAAGTTAGGTAGGTTTTTTTCAATAGTTGGGTCAAGTTCTATTAGGTTCTAGTAAATGTCGCCTCTTTTATAAGGATAAGTTCCATGCATAACAAAAATATGGTTAGGTATGTTTATAGCTACGCAATGATCGACTGATGGCAAAATAAATACCAAATGCTGCCAGAGTCACGGTCATATATAGTTCTCGCGGTGTTCACTGGTAATCAGCGATTTGACAATTAGTTAACCTTATTTTAAGCTACATAGTATAATCAACCAGTAATAGCTAAAATCATCTACCACCACCACTTGTAATCTGATCTTGAGCAAAGAGTTGGAGGATATTATGCAATCTGGGTAGTTATTTCGCAGGCCTTCATATGTTTTTTTTGTTCCGTACATGCGCAGTACCGCATAGTAAGATGGTAGATATTTCATTTGTGACATTGCGCACAAAACCAGTTTTACCAGCTACCTAACAAAAAACTATCTGAAAAATAAAGTTCTTTCCATAGCTGCTACACTGTGGGTGTCATATTGCTAGTACAGTATTGTACTGTTACTCTCTCATCATTAAATTCACTAGTTATTTCATAAATGAATGGACTTAAGCATTATTTGCATATCATAATAACTGTATCTGTATCTAGTTATACCATTGCCATACAATGAATTCTCTATACTGTAACATTTCCACAGGATCAACAGTCAGTTCAGGAGCTGGGGAATGAGGACAGTTGCATAGCAGATGACTCAAAACCCGAGTCTGATAAAGAACTGTGCTCTGCTGAAGAACAAAACTCAAAACTAGAAGGTAAAATCATTATTTTCTTTTATACCAATTTTTCTGATTTCCTGCAATAGCTACAGTACTTTATGTACTTTTATCAGCCTAATTATATAATATCTACCATAACAGTTTAATAATAATAATAATACACGGTTTAGTAATAGAGTTGCAGTATGTGGTATGGTATGATATACCGTATAGACAGACACACAATATATACATACTTCCTTAAGCCAGATGGCTTGTTAGAGGGAGTATGGATATAGCACACAATGTCAAACATTTGGTATTTAAGGTAAAGTGGCCAGCACTGCACTCAATGGCCATCACTTCCTCAGTTGTAAATTTATGTACTGTACTGTATTCGTACAGGGTTGGGTGGACTGGGGATGCTTTGGGCATGAACCAGTGACCCTTAAAATAGGAGGTGAGTGCTCTTGCATCTCATTTACCTGTTTTGTATACTGTGCTGTGCAGTACTGTATATCCAAGTACCTTATACAGTGTACGAACGGTTTAAGTTCCTTGAAAACCATTCATTAAGGTAATTTTTGTTTCTCGAATAACTTAACTGTAATTTAGAGTCTTAACACATTAAAAAAATAATAAATTATACATTAGTACATTACCTTAAGGGACCATACTTTATTCGTATAATCGAGACTAGCTTTTATTTAATAAAAAGAGATGTAAGAACACAAAATTCATAAAAGGGAATTTTTGTAGCTTGAATCTTTATATAGCGAGGGATACCTGTACATTGTAACCTTGCTTCCGTTTCATCACACCCATGGAATTTGAGGAACTGGTCCACTGCTTCCAAAATTAGAAAAGTAGATTCAAACTCCAAGTTGAAATTAAAGGGCTGAATGGACATTAGGACACCCGAGTAGAAAGCACCCTTCAATGTGTGGCTGGCATAAGTCTTTGGTGAAAGGCTTTTGTATACCTGTACTACATGTTATAACAAGTGGAATAAGAGTGAATTTCCCATATTTTACCGCTATGTCCTTATTAAAACCTCACAATGCTGAGAATAATTAAGAATACAGTACTGTAGATTGATAATGCCTGGAGATAACCTTGCTAATTGGCCTGTGTAATTAATTATTTTAAAATTAGTATATTTGTTTGCAAAGGTTGGTGCAGGTTGGTCAGCATGGTGCATTATGGATCACTTAGGTGCCATAGTAAGAAACCCTACTTTTACACAATTTGTCAAGGAGAAAGTCCATGAGTATGCTTATAATCAGAATACCAGTACCCCTTATACTGTACTGGCCCAGTTAAGTCAAAAGTTTTTGATGCTTGGCTAATTTTCAGAACAAAATAGGAAATGTTCTGAATCTTGGGAACATCATAATTGTAGAAGGGAATCTACCCCCACGTAGGGTCATGGCTATGAAGTTTGTGTATTGCCACAGATGGCAGTGAGAATGAAGAAGGTGGCCTCAGTATGCTGACTGATGTACAGTTTGGAGGAGCTGCTTCAGACAAAAAGAAGAAGAAAAAGACCAAGAAGAGTGCCAAGCAAAAACAGCTAGAACTCCATCAAGAACAGGTAACTAACAAAAATTATACAAAATATTAACATTTTATTCACAAAAACTTCCAATTTATGATATTTGTTGTAGAACAAACTTTAAATGCATGAGATTATCATTGATTGCTTATATTGTATGTTTTTCTTGTGAAGCATGCTAACATATTTGATTGGTGTATCAGGTGAACCACATGCGCAAGAAGAATGGGATTCACGTATGGGGAGCTGACGTGCCTGAGCCTCTGGACTCTTTTGACAAGGTGTGTGTTTTGTCTGTTTGTTTTCATTGATTTCACACAAATTATCCTAGACTTGAAGCATGAGGTTCTTTCAGTCTGTCTATAACTTTGACATCTTATTCCCTTCAATATTTCATTTGTGAATGCAAATAAAATCCTTCCCACACACTTGAGCCACTGACCATCTCCAACACCTATGTTGTGTTAAGAACTTCACCAATTTATTTAGTTTTAACTATCCTAAAAGTAAATTGATAGCTTCTAGTTTGTCCTAAGAGATTGGACTCTGTGAAAAGGATGGCACTTAACTTAGGAAGCATGCATAAGTAGGAAATTAGAAGGAAGGAAAAAGGAAAGCTCATAGCAGTCACAGCTCAGACCCTGGGCTTTAGACTAGCAGAATTTGGATCATCTGTGGTGTGATTCCTATAATTATTGATGAAGTAAATGTGAAGAAGTTTTTCATTTTTACTTCCCATAGATAATAAATTCTTGGCTAGTTTACATACCTTATACTGTATATACAGGTATATGGTATCACAAAGTGACTACATTGCTTACCCAACCAGGAACCTTACCATGAATTTGATAGTGAATATTTGCACATGTTAGTTTCTTAATTAGTTAATTGATCAGGATTTTGGAAAAGAGATTACATGAATAATCAAAAGAAGAAATAGAAAATGTTTGAAGTTCAACCCTAGACAAATTTAAGAATATGAACTTGTATTTCGTGATTTATAGCGACTCCAAATTTGTATGAGTTTTTCATTATGAGTTATTACAAAAAATCTTATGTTGTAGTCCTCTTTACTGAGTACTTCTGTAGCTTTAGATTACCTGTGCAGTATTTTTTTAATTTAGAATTTAGAAAATTCATATACATAAACTGACTGAGGTGGTACTATAGCTTCTCTTCAGGTATTAGTAGATTGTAGCTGAGGATTACAGTTAGTAGCTCCTTATGCAGTAGTATTATGTGGATGTGTGCCTGTAGACTAGACTGGGATCTGTATCTTATGTTTGTAACAATTCAAAAAGAATATGTCAGGTTGCTTTGAATGGCTTAGTATAGTTAGTGAGGTAGTACATTGTATGCTGTGCTGGTGATAGGGTGTACCAGTACAGTGTATCATTGCCCTGATAAGGATAGTTACTGACTTGTAAATTAATATGTATCAAATTTACAATAAGGATAAAAGGGTTTGAAATAGGTATCTTCTTTCTTTGTATAGTTGCTGGAACGTTTTGGTGTAAATGAAATCATTACAAGCAACCTTCGTAGTCAAGGATTTGCCAGCCCAACACCCATCCAGATGCAGGCCTGGCCTCTCATGCTACAGGGCCGGGAAGTACTTGGGTGTGCACCCACTGGTTCAGGTGATATTTTCATCCTTTATATATACAGTCGTCATTAATATTACAATTGAGATCAGTTTAGGGGTAGTGAAAATACAGTTGACATTGTGTAATTTTCTTTCTGCTCTTTTATAGTCATATTACAGTACTGTATTGTGTTAAGATATTATACTGTAGTCATCATCACGTTGTTACAGCCATTATCCACATTGGCATGGAATAGTAAACATCAAAACTGTACTGCATTTCTACAGGTAAAACAGCAGCTTTTCTAGTTCCTCTGTTGCATCAGTTGGGTGGCCCACAACGGAAAGGATTTCGTGCTGTTATTCTCTCACCTACTCGTGAACTTGCCAGGCAGACACACAGGTCAGTCTTTGTTCGTACAGTAGTTCACAGTCGAAGTTTACTGAGCAGCACCCAGGTTTTCATACAAGCTAACACTTTGTTGTGTTTAAATTAAAATCATTTACCTTCTCATTGTTAATATTTCATATGAAGTAAAATATTTATAATGTGCCATATTGCCTACTCCTCATCTACAATCCATCTCACCCAATTTTAAATCTGGAGTTAAGTTAAATGTTCATCAAGCATTGGGAGAGCTTTCTCCTTTGTCTTATTAAGGCTTCAGACTAAGGTGACCTCCAATACCTGTATAGCCACAGAAGTTAGATTTTGATTATCCTTTCATACATTGTCAGTATGCAGGATATACAGCAATTGGAATAACATTGATGATTGAAGCTATACAGATATTTTTAGTGGCATATAGGTGAGAAGTTTGTGTAAATTAGATATTTGCCATAAGAAACATATTGTATTGGATAAATTGAATGTACTGCATATGTGAATTTCAAAGTCACACATAATGTAGATACAGTACTAGTAGTTGATGTTTGTGTGGAGACAGGTACCTGTAGGAAGATTAGTGAATGTTTTAGAAAAGAGATCTAATTTAACAAGTATAGAAATAAATAGCTCAAATGTAGAAAAAAATGATGTGACTTACTCAAGGAAGAAGCAAATATGTAATTATTATCAGAAATTGAATTGTCATATTGATTGCATATACTGTAGATTTAAAAGACCTGTTATGTGTCCAGGGTTTATCCTCGTCAACAATTTCGGCCATTTTTCCGTGTTTGCATGCATTAGCTGCAATTACCTGCTGGCAACTATTTGGTAAAACCTGAATGGGATTCCCCCCTCCCCCTTCTCATTCACCACTGCAAACCCATGGTGCCAGCCCTGAAAATATATCAGAGACCAAGGGTTGGGCACAGCTATGGTGACCTGGTTGCCATCAGGCTTGTTGAAAAGTATAAAGTTTTACGGCTGGATGCCCTTCCTAATGTCCACTTGATATGGGCAGTCAGTCAATCATATGTCAATCTTGGCTCAAATTTATGATAAGTTTCATGTTCTTTTTTTGCGTTTATACTATACTATACTACTGTTGTAATGATGTTTCCAGAGAGTGTGTGAGACTAGCTGAGGGGCTGGGAATACGTGCATTCATCATTAGTAATGTTAGCAAAGCCATGGAGAAATTTGGCCCTCAATCTGCTCAGAAGTTTGGTAAGTAACTTAATTTTGCACATATACTTTCTTGGACAATTGATGTACTCTATAGTATTCACTACTCCAGTACCACTATCAAAATAGGAAGGTGGATAAAGATGCCTACTGTTTATATTGTACATTATCTGCTTAGAGGTTTTGATGACAGTTTTAAGGGATAAAAGTAAATGTTAAACTACTATCAACTTTTTGGTTTACATTTGATACTGTTCTTTTAGCAGATAGTGAATTAAATTAAAAGCTCGATCCCCAGAGAAATACAGAGTTGGGGAGAATTGGTAAAGATAACCCAAAAACATTTGTTATGGAAGGCTATTGTCCCCATTCCTCTGAACTTTTAGAGCGTGGTATTAATACCTATCGAATAAGACTGTGTTTAAATCATGATCAATCAAGATAAGGTAATTAATTATCATTGAATTTTCAGATGTACTTGTAACAACACCAAACCGCCTGGTGTACCTCTTGCAGGAAGTTGATGGTTCACCCCTCAATTTATCCAAGTAAGTGCTAGCTACTGTTGAAGTTCTGGTAGGTCACCCATCTGGGTTTACTGTGGTCATCTACATGCGTCTTAACTGATATACCATACTGTATTGTTTCTAGTTGAAGGATATGACTAAATATTAAAAATAACCAACAATTCTATGGAGATACTGTACGGTGTTTTGAAAGCGGAAACTATTTTTATATATATTGAAGGATAGTAATAAAATTTTTGTGCTTGTAGTGTGGAGTGGCTAGTCATAGATGAGAGTGACCGTCTGTTTGAGGCAGGAGAACATGGCTTCAGAGACCAGCTGGCAGTCGTGTACCAAGCCTGCACGGGGCCCAATATCAGACGAGCCCTGTTTTCTGCCACATTTGCCCATGAGGTTCAGGACTGGTGCAAACTGAACCTTAACAATGTTGCCATGGTGTCTGTGGGCATCAGGTAAGTTGTATTTATGAAAATTGTAATTATATTTTCTGCTTAGGCTTTATAGGTATTAACACTCATGCATCAGTAAAATTGTATGTATATTGTTGCAGGTATCTTAAGAGTTGTACCTACTACGAGATGAAGTGCACAGTATTGTTTACTTTCAGGAACACTGCATCAGAGGATGTGAAACAAGACCTCAAGTTCTGTGGTGATGAAAGTGGGAAGCTTTTAGCTCTTCGAGATATTTTAAGAAAGGTTTGAATCTTATGCTTGTGTTCTGTGTCATTTATTAACTTTTGAATGGAGGAGTTTGTTTGGTTATGATTTCTTCTATTCTTGCATTTTATCTTGGAAATAAAGTTTTCCTTGAAAGTAATTGTTGCTTTATAGTGTTTGATGTACTATTCTTACTCCAAAATCTCATTGCTTCCCATACCTTTCTTTGAACGGAAAATACATTTACTTTCATACTACTATATCCCTGTGCTCTTTGTTTTCTTTTATCTATTTTTATTATTGTTTTCTACCAGTATCTGGGTTTGCTCGGGTGATATGGAGAACCTGAGAGAGTAAGCAAAAAATGATTGGTACATAGGGTGTATGTTTCAAAGTACATGGATGGTAAAAGGAAGAGGGGAAGACCATGAAGGATATTGTACAAGGATGGGGGTGAATGATGTCTTAGAAGTGAGGGGGGATGAACAATAAAAAAGCAGCGGTACAAAAGAAGATACAGGAGCATGGTGTTGAGGAGATTATATGAATGTCTGTGTTTGCTCTTGATTACAGGTACCCTTAAGCATAGTAGGAAAAGTCTTGCTACCCAACAGCTCATCCTATGGGCCTTGTTCCTCACTCATTCACTCATAATGTTACTTTATCGATCTCCATCTCCTCGCATCTAGTACATCCTTCATCCCTTCCTGCCGTCTCTCTCTTAGTCTTTCCCATTCTCCCACTCTAACCATGAAGATGTTGAATAGCCATGGAAACATAATACATCCTTGATTAAGTCTTACTGCCACAGGGAACTAGTTTTCCTCTTCCTGACAACCTCAATCAAAGGATTATTTCTTGCTATAAAATCTCTGGCCAGCATTCAACAATTTCCCGCATATATTGTCAGTGTTTTCCATATTGTTTTTTTCTGTTTACTGTATCAAAGCTCTTTCTAGAGCTATAAATGCCAATAGCAAAGTTTTCCTCTTCTCTTGATCCTCACGACTTCTTCCTTTTCTGTACTAACACTCTTCTTCTTATGTACTCTTTGTTTTTGCAACATTTATTTCAGTACAGTAATATGTTTACCCTATTAGAGTGGAAGTGTTAATATCAATATCCTCATTTAACTGTAGTACAGTAATTCCTTTTATTTTAAGATATTAATATAGGGAATACTTTTGACTCCAACTTCTGTATTTCAGGGTTATGAGCCACCTGTTCTACTGTTTGTACAAACAAAGGAGCGAGCTAAAGATTTGTTTAAGGAGCTGATATATGATAATATTATGGTGGATGCCATTCATTCTGATCGTACACAGCTGCAGGTAACTTTTTCTATTTAATTAAAAAAAATTCATGTCACCGAGCCTTTGGAGGGTGAGCAACCATATTTTATTTTGGACTGTTAGCAATATACATGACTGGGAAAATAAGCCATGGTTTCATGCCAACCATTAGAAGAATGGTATAGGATAATATACAGTACTGATGCTTTCTCTTTCTTTTCAGCGTGACAATGTAGTTCGAGCATTTAGAGAAAGAAAAATATGGGTTTTGATATGTACTGAACTCATGGCTAGAGGTATTGACTTCAAAGGTGTCAACCTCGTCATCAACTTTGACTTCCCACCGTCAGCCATTAGTTACATCCACAGAGTAGGACGAACAGGACGAGCTCACCACCAAGGTCATGCCATCACATTTTGGACAATGGATGACAAACCTTTCCTAAGAAGGTGAGGATGTGGACAACACTTCAGCAATTAAGTTTGTATAATTTATCAGGAAATTTATTACTTCAGTGGTGACAAAAAAAATTGGACTAATAGAAAGGATAAAGGCAAAGACGCATAGCAATTTTTTTTCCAGTATACGGTATCAGGAGAATACTGAAAAATATTGAAAATCCATCAATTATGCAATGGGTATTAAGGCTTAATAAATTTTCTAGCTTCAGTCCTTAGTGTCAGATTGACTCGAATACTGTATCAGCATAGGTTTGTGGATTATCTTACATTACTATACTGGTAGTGTTGGTGAGTCAGTAAATCAATTGACTGAGTGTGTTTCATAATTGGCCTTGCAGTACTCAAAGGTGGTACACTCACAGACTGGAATGTAATTTGGTTTAGTGCTGTCCATCACCCAAGTCATAGTCAAGATTTTATATTAATAGTTGTTCATTTTCAGATACATTAAATGTATTGTACTTTATGTAAATCAGCAATGTTGCTATTATTACTTTAATATTTTGTTGCACTGTTCTCTGTTAATTACACAATAGTTTCCTTATTTCTTAAAGCCCTTTGCAAAATAAGCACACATAGGAGTGAAATAACGAACAGTACTCATATAAGTAAGGGAAGTAAGAGAATTTAAAATTATACTTAAGAGCTGGATAGTTGTACTTGATAAAGAAGTGTAACCTGAAGATAGTGCAGATATATTTGACTTCATTTTTAAAAGTTTACATCCATTTGTGTATGTGTGGTTTATATGGAGTACAGGTTATCCAAATAATAGACCTGTTTACATTCACTCTGTTCTTTCTTTGTGTTGAAAAGGAATTGTTTATACAGTAAGTTCTTGTATAACGTTGCCCCTGACAACGTTGTTTTGTTATAATGTCGCTACTTTAGATACCCATGATTCCAACAACATCCCGACCGATTTCTTATAACGTCGTCAAGGACAACTTTGTATGGCGTAACCCCGTCTCTCTTCTTGGCGCTCTACGCTCTCTCACGGAGCGTCACAGCGTCCCCAAGCATACCCAGTCTTTGTTAGGCTTCCACAGCGTATGTGTGTGTTTAAGTGTTTTTGCTCTAAATACTGAACTCTAACCATTCGAAATGGCTTCCAAGCGCCCATCAAGTGCTAGTGTTGTGAAGAAGCAATACAATACCATTAGAGAGTACAATACAAAATGATTTAGTTTATTTATCTTTTTGGATGTATAAAATATTCTATTTTCTATAAAAATTCCATTGAATTTATGTATATGTAGTGTTTTTTATAGGGCAAAGGGAGGCTGGGAAATGTAACTAGCATATTTTATCTATTTCTTATGGGGAAAATTGATTCCGTTAACGTTGCGTTTTTCAAGAACGGAACCACGGCGTTAAATGAGGACTTAATGTATTGAGCTTTTCAACTGCTATGGTTATTGCACTGATCACTTTACTGGTGCTTAGATGCTCTTTACACTCATGCTACCTCAACTAGTTCAGCTTGTTGACTTTACTCTCACTAGTAATAGAGATTTCTTTTATTTTTTAATTTATATCAACTTGATTTAGTGAATTTTATTTAATTTTTTTTATTTCAGTGTTGCACAGGTGATTCACAGTTCTGGTCAGGAGGTGCCAAGTTGGATGTTGGAACTCAAGAAGTTGAGGAGAAAGGAAAAGAAGAAGTTATCCACACAGCAGCCAGATCGAGGTCATGTCTCACAGGGAGTTCTCTATGAGCAGCTAAACAAACGTAGACAGAAGTAAGGTTCATTCTGTTTTGAGCCGCCATTGCTGAAGTGGATAAGTGGAGAAGTGTTTGATTCAGAAACTATTCCAAAGCTCTGATGTATTATTTTGAATTACAGTAAACCCTTGTTATTTGCAGGGGTTAGGTTCCAAGGAAGGGCGAGAATAGGCAAAACCGCGAAGAGCAACTTATACTACCTTAGTACACTACTATATACCTATACCAAACAACTGACCAGCTGCGGCAGCACTCATCTCCTCTTTTAACTTATCTAATAATTCAACTTTCTTTATCAGGGTCATCACTGACTTCTGCCTTTTACATTTCACTCCACTAGCATCACTAACACTGACACTAGGCAGTCTTTAAGGGGCCATTTCATACAGAAACACTAAAGTTTTGAGAGTACAACATGAGATGCTGCGTGGGGTGACTCGTTGTGCTGCGGGAAAAGGCTCACAAGCTAGCCACCATCTGCTTTCTGCGAATCTTTGAAATCGCGAATATCAAACCCACAAATGGCAAGGGTCTACTGTTTTTTTGGTATTGGTGTTTCTAATTTTTATTTTTGGAAAATTTGTGTAGCTGCAAGTTTGCTTTTACCATCTTATTCTCTATATTTATGCAACATCTATTCTTTCCTCAGAGAAATGGTGAAGAAAAGCAAGAAAATGAAGTTTACAAAAAATGCAGCAGAAGAGAATAGGGTTGAGAGAGACAGGGCAACACAGAAATAGCAAGTGGGTCAGATTTAAGAGACAGGTCAGAAGCAGCAGAAATAATAAACAACGAGAAAGGCCTAAAGAGTAATACAAAGCTTATTGTAATTTTTTATTGCAGTCTTTCAATAAAGAATCCACGTAACAACAATCTACTGTATATATAAAGACCTACTCATTTCCCAGTTTCAGTAATTGTATTATGTCTTTAGAAAATGCATGATTGAATGATGGACTGTATAATGGAATTGTTAAGTTAAATTAATTATACTGTATACGAGTGTAAAACTTGGACTCTGGATGGAAGAGGAAGAAGCAAATTAAAGCAACAGAAATTATATGTTTGATGGTGATATCTGGGCTGAATAGGATGCAAAGAATAAGAAGTACTGCACAAACATAAATTAGATGATGTGGATGTGTAAATAGTGTCTTAACAGAAAGGTAACCAGGGCGTGCTAAGGTGGTAATACTATATCAAAAGAATGCTAAGTGTGGTGCTTGATAAAAAAGGAAAGCTGTTCACTTCAGAAGTAGATGAAAAGAAGAAAATGCCTTTACTTGAAATATGAAATTTTAATAAATATCCAAAAAGCAGCAGAATGCATGAATATAATACGAGGATGGTGTTGAAAGGCTTATACTGATGTTAAAGCAGTTACAGTTAATGAATAGACTAAAATGACTTTTCTTTTTCATGATTTCAACCACTTTACTGCATGGTGTGAAAAGATTAGCAAGAATAGATATACAAAAGGTAGTCAGGAGTTTCCAGAAAGCTAATGAACAGGATTAATTGATGCAATTCCAAGTAGTTTTGCTGATGTACCTATTGCTTTGTAGAGGGATTGGGAACTGGTGATAGATGGAGGAAGTGGAAACTAGACAGTGACCAAATCTTGAAAGGTGAGGAGAGACTGTTAGTTTAGAGCAGTGGTTCTCAAAGTGGCCGGTAAAGACTCCCAGGGCGTTGACGCCTGCAGAATCTGTTCCAAGGGTGGTGACGCAAAAAGGAGCCCTTGGAGGGTCGGTGATCCCCCCAGGGGCACTCTTAAAGGCGGCCGCATCCGAAGGAACCCTCCCATGGTCGGCGAGTGCCCTTCGTGAAGCTGTGGCGGTTGCAAGTGCACTCCCAGGTGTGGTGGTGCCCCAAGGGTCCCTGCCAGCGCGACGACGCCCCATCAAGCTTTCCTTAAGAGTAGCGGCGACCCCAAGGGTCCTTACACAGGCGGTGACATCCCCCGGGGACCATCGCAAGAGCGCTGGCGCCCCCAGGAGCCCTTCAAGGGGCGGTAGCGCCCCCAGGGGTCATCCCAGGAAAGGTGGTGCACCCAAGGGCCCTCTCAGGGTCGTTGGCGACCCCTGGACCCTTCCAGGGGCGGTAGTGCCCCCAGGGGCAGTTAATACTTAACTGTCATTGGTGGAATAAGAGGTAACGTCATCAAATTACAGCCAATAGGAAAACAGAGCAATCAGTCAGCACAACACCCCAACTTATGTTTTGCTGTTGGATATTTATTCTCCTTTTCAATGTTCAGGTTGCGATAATACTGAAAATGCTATAGGCAGTGTGTATTTATTTAACATCATATGTCGAGAGTTTAAATAGTGAAACGAGAATAAATATCCAACAGCAAAGCATAAGTTGAGGTGTTGTGCTGACTGATTTCCCTGTTATCCTATTGGCTGTAATTTAATGACGTTACATCTTGCTCCACCAATCACAGTTAATTAAGGGATTACTGGACGAATGCAAAATGTACGACAAAACTATGAAGTTCTTAGGGCGATGCTGCTTGTGGAAGGGCCCCTGGGTGCGCCGTCGTCCCTGGCAGAGACCCTGGCAGAGGTCCCATAACAGCGCCACCGACCCTAGGAGGGCCCATAGGGGCGCCGCAACCCTTGGCAGGGTCCTTGGTTGCAGAGGCTCCTCATAGAGGGACCCTGGCGGAGATACCGCCTCTGGAAGGGCCTGTGAATGTGCCACCACTGTGGTATGGCCCCTGGGGGTGAAGCGGTCCCTGGGAACACTCCTGAAGGCGCCCCCGTCCCTGTAAGGGACCCTGGGATCGCCGCTATCCCTGTGAGGGTCACTTGGCCATGCCAGGCATGGAGGCGCCCCCAGGACCCTCTTAGGGTCAGCGGTGCCCCCAGGAGACCTGTCACGGGCACTGGATCCACCAGGGGCGCTCTTAGGGACAACTGCAATCCTAGGGGCCTTCTAAGGGAAGGCAGCGTCGACAGGAGCTCCTTCAGGAACAGCCGAGCTTCCATGGGCCTCTCAGGGACGGCAACACGGGACCCTCACAGGGACGGCAACGCTCCTAGGGACCATCACATGGATGGCGGCGCCCCCATGAGCCCTGCTAGGGACACTGGCGACCCTTGGGGGCCTAACAGGGACAGCCGTGATCTCTGGGGTCTTTCCAGGGACGGTGGCGCCTCTAAGTACGTTCCTAGAGACGGTGGTGTTCCGAGAGGCGCTGCCAGCGGCGGTGGCGCCTTCAGGGGCCCTTCCAGAGGCGGTGGCTCCCCCTAGGCCTCTTTATGGGGCGCCACTGCTCCCAGGGATCCTGCCAAGGCCTGTGGCTCACAATAGGACCTCCTAGGGGAGGCAGTGCCCCAAAACAATGGATAGTGGTGTCGTATATATTGCATTCTAACAGTAATCTCTTACTTAACTGTAATTGGTGGAATAAGATAACGTATTGTTAACATTCATCTGTTTTGCTGTTGGATATTTATTCTCCTTTTCATTGTTCAGTTGCG